ACAGTGCTCCATGTGAATCCATGGAGGAGGATCAGGGGAGGAGCCATTGCCTGTCTTCTTGGCTGAGTTAGGAATGGCTTCACCAAGGAGGGGCATGGTGGGTGGGTCCTGAAGGACAGACAGACCACGGTTCCCAGGGTAGATAGGGGAAAGGAGAAGGGGGAGCTTGTGCAGCAGCAGAAGTCTTGGAAACTCCTGGTGTGTTTAGGGAAGTTGTGTGCAGGGAGGGGCTTGGTGGGGGTGGAGTGGAGTTGACCTCAGTGTTGATAGTGGGGATGGGACCAGCAGCAGATAGAATTAGAAGATGGAGTCCATATATTTTGTGGAAGATCTTGTATCCAAAAAAGAGAGTAAACTTTATGCTGAGTGCAGTGAAGAGCCATTAGTGATTTTGTTTGTTTGTTTGCTTGTTTGTTTTGGTACTGGGGATGAATTCAGGGGCACTCCACCACTGAGCTACATCCCCAGCCCTATTTTGTATTTTATTTAGAGACAGGGTCTCACTGCACTGAGTTGCTTAGCACCTCGCTTTTGCTGAGACTGGCTTTGAACTCTTGATCGTCCTGCCTCAGCCTTTCCACCCGCTGGGATTTCAGGCGTGCACCACTTTGTTCAGCTAAAGGTTTTTAACAGAGGGGTGAAAATCTAACTCCACAGCAAGATGTGGACATGCTCAATCTTTCCAAAGGTGCAAGTCCTTCATCACTCCAAGTCCATGCTTGGGAATTTATCTTAAGGAAGTAGTCAGACACAAAGATGTGTGAGTAATGAGCTTCATAACAATTCTGCTTCAATACTCAGAAATATTAAAGTATAGGTACACATATAGCAGAGTATTATGCTACTGTTAAAAAATTATATGWCTTTAATTCATTTATTGACATGAAAAATGTATATGATATAGTAAATAAAAATTTTACAGCATGATATACATTTTATAAGATCCCATTTTCTTTAAAATCAAACATATACACATACACACGTGTGCACACAGGTAGAGTCACACAAAAACCCCTGAAGGGCATGTGGTGTGCCAGTATTTTGATAGTGGTTGTCTCTAGGTGGTGGGATAATGTGAATTTTATTTTTTTCTGATCTTTTCAATAATAATTTTTTAAAAAATTAAGAACAACAACAAAAGAAAAAATGCTGAGATTATAGTCCTGGGAATCTTTGGGGAGGCGTTGGAATTTGGGGATTGGGTGCTGGAGCAGATGAGGGTCAGGGATGGGGTGGAGAGAAGATCTGACATGATGCCTAGGTTTCTGACCTGGACCTTTGAGTGGCCAAAGGTGCCATTCCTCAGGAGAGGGAGCAGCAGAGGGGACACAKGCGAGAGTCAGAAGGTGAAGGTCCYAGTCTTCATGGCGTTGAGTCTGAGCTGCTGGTGGGACATGCTGGGAGAATAGTTGTCGGGTTGCTCTGGATCTAATGAGACAAGCAAGTTCTGGAGATGAGTTGGAAGTGGGCAAGACAAAGACTGGCGGAGGAGTGTGGAGCTGGGACTCAGYTGAGACTGTCACCCTGTGACTCTTTCATTGAAAGGTGGCTGAGGCCTAGCAGAGCCCAGGGGAGCCCCAGTCAGCTTGGGGAGACCCAGGGTGTGTGGGGAAAGCCAGAACAAGAAGAGTTTTAAGAAGGAGGAAGCCGCCATCTTGGTAGAGCATCTCACACACACACTTAAATGTCTTCCAGAACTGCTGGCCCATTTGGGGTGTGGATCCTGTTTATGGTCATAAGACACTTTGACCCATTTCCTGGGAATGGGGGTCAGGACTGTGAGGGACCAGGAATCTCTGCTGCCAATGAGTGTCCCTCACCAGGGGAAAGCCCACACCAGAAGGAGTGCAGAGAGAATGGAGGAGGCTTCCCATCCCCAGGAGAGAAAACAGCACTTCCACAGCCCTCTTTTCTCCTGGAAGAACTGGGAGTAGGAGGCAGTCCTCTGTAGGATGAGGAGACGGATTTAATGAAATACAGTCATTGTTCTCGTCCCTGGGTGGATGGGGAATTCATGCAGTGCCTTCTGTAAGGATGTTATAGGAGATGAATCCATTAATTGCTGCCAGAAATGAAATGAAAGAAACAAAGAAATAAACAGAGCTCAGAAACAGAACTGGAAGGGATCCCAAAATGGGCTGCAGACTGTGAGGGTTGTAGGTCAGAGTATTCTCAGCCCCAGCAGGGTGGGGGCTGCAGATCCCACCGCTGTGGGTTGAGCGTTGGTCCTGGTGTCAGTCCTCCTGTATTCCAATCCAGGCTCCTGTGGGGCATGGCATTTACTCTCTCTGTGCCTCAGTTGCCTCATCTGTATAATGGRAATACTAATAGTCACTTTACCTCAGGCGGGTGGTGAAGATTAGGAGAATCAGTCACCCCAACACAGGGAAGCGTTTGCACTCAGCATGACATTTATTGTCCCCATCATCATCATCATTAACTCTGCTGCTTCCTCCATCTGGGAATGAAGAAATGGTAAAAGATGAGGAACTAACGTTCAGCAGGAATCACCAGGGAACATTACGTGAACACTTGCTCAGACTAGAACCTCCTGGTTTAGTAAGCCACACAGGAAAGAATGGAATGTACCATTTTAAAAGTAGACACGTCCAGAATAGTATTATAAAGTGGAGCTGGAGGTTCCAATGAAATTCGGAGCTGGGCCATGGGATATTACAGTGAGCAGGTGGACACAGGATTGAAGGGGAGGACAGACAAGTGAGGAAGAAGGAAATTCAGAAGGGGAAATGTAAAAACAAAAACAAAAACACTGGTCATTTGACACAGAGAGGTGGAAGCTGTAATACTGCCTGAATCTGGGGAATGAAGCAAAGTCAGAGTCATAAAATCTGGGGAAAGACCTACTTCATATTTCCRAGTGTCATATTGCTCTTTACTGCCAGTCATTCTGGAAATAGCCGCTCCAGACTTCCTGCTTCCCTAAATTCTACCTCCCACCAGCGAATACAAGGTCCCTTTCACTGTCGGCCTGGCCCTGTTTGAGAACCTTTCATCTCATACCTGATTTGACCTTTGAGTCAAGCTGATGGGGTGGGTGTTGTCACTGTCCCAATGGGGGCGACTCAGGCACAGTGAGATAGGAAAGAGGAAGAAAGGAAAGATGGCGCTCACCGCATAGGGCCCACAAGAGATGATGAGGCCAGCCTCAAGTACACACCGTCACCTGCAAGGGGTCCGAGGAGGTCCTCCAGAATGGAGGAGGGGGCCTCAACTCAGCCCTGGCAGGTTCTTGACTTACACCACAGAAAGGAATCTCAGGAGATGTCAAAAGAAGCACGAAGATTTATCTAAGACAGCAAAGACCTTTATTTAGGAACGCTAGCCACAGAGCAGGAGGCTCACTCCAAAGGAGCRTGGGCATCTCAGAGTGAGACTTTTGGTGTCTTGGGCACTTTGTCTTTGTGTGTGTGTGAGGGGAGGGTGCTGGGATTGAACCCAGGGCCTCATGCATTCCAGGCAAGCGCTCTACCACTGCGCCACATCCCCAGGCCTTGGCCCCTTCTTTTAAATAGTGAATCTTCATAAATAGTGAACATGTAAGACTGTTTCCCCCTTGGCTTTTTTTTTTTTATTTATTGGCAGTACTGGGGATCAAACCTGGGGTCTTGTGCATGCCGGGCAAGCACTCTCCCACTGAACCACACCCCCAGCCTCCTTTGGCTTTATTTTGTCTAAAGAAAACATATTATTTAAACTAGCAGCGTGCATGGCATTGATCCTCTAGACTGAGAATATGCTGAGTTTTCTAGAATTCAGGCCTGGAGGGATGCAGGGTGGGGAGCAGCGATGAGAGTATTGGCAGAGCTGCTTAGAGTGAAAGTCACACCTTTCGTTCCCCCCTCCCTGTTGTTCTCCTCTCTGCCTGTCCTCATTTATTCTATCCTCCCCCACAGAAGACCACCTGGCTCTGAAGTCTGTGATCTTTAGTGCTGTAAAAAAGGTGCTGGTGTCATTGTCATGGCAATGGTGTCATGAAAGCCCCTAACTTGAGAGGCTGAGTCTCTCTAAGCGCCCAGCCTGCTGTCCKGGGAGGGCTGTGCTTCCTCTTGGTGGTGTCTGGTGGTGGACTCCAGAAACTCCTGTCCAGACTCTAGCGTTTTTCTGGTTTTGCTTCCTGAGGTTCCTTTCTCCTTTCCACAGGCCACGTCAGACCTGAGCGCACACCTCTGTTCCAGCCGGCATCTCCCGCACTCGCCTCTCCCCTCTTCYCTTGGCTCCCACCCTGCTTCTTCAGGGTCGCTGCTCTTCAGAGTCCTCCTCCTACTCCTTGCAGCTGTCCAATCCTCTAAGCCCCACACTCAAATTTCTGTTTCTTTATAGAACCTTCTCATGTCATTCCAGTCCATGGTGATTTCATGATCTACTCAATTCCTGTGGCACTTACTGTGTCTGATTTGAGGGTTCATTAAATGTTCCTTCCGTCCTTCATTCACCCACCCCCAGCATCTCCTGTGTGTTACTGGGTGAATGAGAGCCACCTGCAAACAGCTTCCAATCCAATAAGGGAAAGAGGCRTAAGACAAGTCATCGTCACTCTGCAGCAGACATTTTATGACAGGAGTGTTCTGGGGACAGTGCCAGCCTAGAGGAGGGAATGATCAGCTCTCTTTGGAAAAGTTTCAAACAGAGAATTTCGCACACTTGTCTGGGTCTGGAATACTGAGTAGAGGTTGTTGGGTGAAAGATGGGAACAAAGCAGCTTYATTAAGAGAATGGCAATCATGAAGGTATACCTTGGGCCTGACACATCTTGACTGGTAGCAGCATGTGACCTGTTACATGTTCACCACCGACTCATGCCTTGTATACAGTTACGYCATTGTTTAGCCAGGTGACAATTCCTTCTGTTTAGCCAAGAGCCCTTTACATGGAAGGTACCGCTCTGAACCCTGGGATGGTTCCTTGTGGGCAGTTTCCAAGCCAGGGAGGAAGTGGACTAATGCCATCCCAGTGACTGGTTTGGCTTCTGTGTTTCCTAGACCAAGGATGCCCTCTTCACCATTCTCCACGACCTCCGGCCCCAAGACCGCTTCAGTATCATTGGGTTTTCCAACCGGATCAAAGTGTGGAAGGACCACTTGCTGTCCGTTACTCCCCTCAACATCAGGGACGGCAAGATCCACATTCACCATATGTCACCCAGTGGAGGTAAGAATGATCCCTGCCTGCCKTAGTAGTAGCTGCAGGATGATCGTAAGCTAATTTTCTGCCAAGAGACAAGAATTTGAGAGTTAAAGGTGCTGACATGACAGAGGGTAACTGGGAGGGCTTTCTTGGGAGCTTTTGGTTCTCAGAACATCAAATTTGTGAATTCTCCACCCTCAGTCCCCAAACTAAGTTGGTCAACTTAGAGGGAGAAAGAACCTAAAAGGTGGTTGGAGGCTTTCCTGGCTTCTCTCATGGATCCTGGACAAGGAAACTCTTTTTGTAAATTGTTCTTGGGTGGAGAGTTGAAGCCCAGTGAATGGTCCGTTTGGATGAGGGCACCTTGAGCACCAAGATGGCACTGCTCTGCAGAACTGGTGGCCTTCAAGGCAGGGTCTTCAGAGTGGGTCACCATGGCCTGGGAAGTGCTATGAATGTGAAACAGGCCAAGGAGGATGCTGGGCTCTGAGTCACTGCGTGGTCATCCTGAGCATGGCGCCATGTGCAGAGTTTTCAGAGAGGAGAATTCTAAGCCAGGTGCAGTGGTCCACACCTGTAATCCCTGTGACTCTGGAGGCTGAGGCAGGTGGATAGCAAGTTCAAGGGCAGCCTCAACAACTCTGAGACCTTGTCTCTATATGAAAAATTTAAAAAGGGCTGGGGATGCCGCTCAGTAGTTCAGTCCCCAGAATCAAAAAATAGAGTTCTGAGATCAGAGAATCAGAATGGTATGTTACCCATCTGTGCTACCTGTAAGTTTTTTCAACTCCGGACAGGGGCTGTGTCATGAATACTGTGGACACATAAAGAGGTGCTCAGTGCTGGAGTGTTCTGTGGGGCCGAGCTGTCCCTGCTCCCTGTCTTGAAGACCCTTTACAGAGACCCATCTTATGAAGTTGTCACTGTGGTTAATTCCACTTTGGTTATCTAGAAACACGTGAAACAACTCAGTCTTCTCCCAGTTTTCATGTATTCATAATTTCCCATTGAGGACGAAGCCCTGATTTTCCAGAGGAGCCTCACCTGGAGCTTGGCCTTGCTTGGCCAGTGTCTGACTTAGTCTGGCATTTTCTACCAGTCTCCATAGCATCGTGGTCCTAGAACTTTTCTGGTGTTGGATGGCAAAGGTAAAAGAATAGATTTAATTTGATAGTTTTTGTCCACAGAAGGAAGTTGACAAGGCTGTGAAGTCCTTGTGGCCCCTAGTACCCAGCGTGGTTCCTGACAGGTACTGCATCCTCAGTGAATATTTGTTAAGTAAACTTATTTTAATGGCACTACTTACTCTTCAAATGATGTGTGTGTGTCTGGCAGGGAGGTGATAAACAACTTCAGATAACAGCTGAATTGTGGACTATGTTCCTTTGGAATCTGAACCTTAGAAATCTGGTTAGTTTCATATACATACATATATATATATATATATATATTTTTTTTTTTGATAGGGGGCAGAGTACTAGGGATTGAGCCCAGGGGTACTTATCCACTGAGCCACATCCCAGCCCTTTCTTGTGTTTTATTTAGATACAGGGTGTTCTTGAGTTGTTTAGCATCTTTCTAAGTTACTGACACTGGCTTTGAACTCTTGATCCTCCTGCCTCAGCCTCCTGAGCCACTGGGATTATAGGCACACTCCATCATGCCTGGCTCCTCTACTTATTCTTTTTTTWAAATATTTTTGTAGTAGTAGATGTACCACATGCCTTTTTATTTTTTTTATTTTTTGTTTTTATTTTTATGTGGTACTGAGAATCGAACCCAGTGCCTCACATGTGCTAGGCAAGTGCTCTGCCACTGAGCTACGGCCCCAGCTCCTCTACTTACTCTTGACCCTGCATTGCCTCAGCCTCTGCAGGTCAACAGTGGATGAATCTGCTTCTCTCTGAGAATGCAACCTCAGAACTAGGAGCGTAGATTCTGAAGCCATACTGCCTGGACTTGAATTCAGCTCCACTCTCTACTAGACAAAGAACTTTCCTCTGCCTCAGTTTCTTTGTAAAGCGGGGATAATAATGGGGTGGTTATTGGGGTGAGATGAGTTAAGATATTTAAAGTGCATAGAAAAGTCCCAGCATGCAGGAAGTCCTCTTCAAGCATCAGATGTGGCCATGATTTTTACCCACTTGAGTAGCTCCCTTGCTGGTGCGCTTGAGTCCCGTGAGTTCTTGGTTGTTGAGTRGACAAGAGATGCCCCATTTTAACGTAGGCCTGATTCCAAGCCCTGTGGTTCCTTTGGCACCCAGGTGCAATCAGGAAGGCTAAATTGATGGCTTGGCCCTGGCTCTCTTTGGCTTTGAAGTGGAGAGGGAGACTTGGCATCATTGCTAAGTGCCGATTAAAGAGCATACAAACACCTGCCAGTCAGCCCATACCCACACACCCAGAGGCCACATGAAATTAGATGGGCGTTAAGAAAGGCAAATTAATGATCCCAAAGAAGTGTTGAAGATGGTTTCAGCTGTAACTCTCCCTTCTGTTTGGACTCGGTGTGCATCTTAGCAAGAATTATGAACATAATTGTCACAGGCATAGATTTTTCCTTTTTGCCAGAAATTCTGGAGAGTATAAAGCAGTGGGGAAAATGATCAGTTTCTTTAACATGGTACATTTTGCAAGGTGTTTGGAACAGAAATCTATGACTAAAAATAAGGAATTGGGTGCTTAGAATGGGAAATTTCTTTGGTATGAAATTTTAGCTCAAACCATTCAAAAAACAACAACTAAAGGAAATAGATGGTCATGCTACAGTAAGAAATCTATTTTCCTTGATGGTTCAACAGTGGTAGCTCAGTTGAGTGATCTTCCTGGCTAATCCAGAAACCTCATTTTAGCTGATAGTTTTAACCTAAACCAACCAAATTGCCCATCTCTCTCCATCCACCAAGCAAATACATATTAGTACCTACCACACACCCTGCCCCCGGACTTTAATCAGAACTGCTGCTGCTGGGCACCTTTCTAAAGGAGAGTTTACAGAATCAGGAGGTATATATATGTATCCATGCCTCTTTCCTTTGTGGCTTCTAACAAACAGAGGTAATCCTGAAGAGGCAGCAGGCAAGGAAAGGGACAATGAAGATGACTCATTACTTCTTCAGTCAGCACCGTCCAGCCTGGGCAGCCTTTGAAGCCATCTGACATGGTCTCCAGTTGCCTGCCCCGCCCCCGCATCTTTTCATTCTGTGGTCCTTTCTTCCCTCTCTGACTTTCTTTCTTCGAATCTCTGCATCTAACATGTTCTGCTTCTTTTCAATGCTGTTCTAGGAATGTAGCGGCCATTAATGCTAAGATAAGGACTTCTAAGCCCAAGTGTCATCGGGTACCTTGGGGAAAAGGTTTGACAGTGGGATAACTCCATGCCATTTAGATTTATCTGTAAGCTGAGCCACCTCACATATGCAGGTGACCTCTTTTTCCCCCGCAGCTCAGGCCTGCTGGTTGATGCCTGTGTGGCTGAGTTCTCTGCAGCTCTACACGTGTGTCAGGGTCCGGGTGGGTGCAGAGGTGTGAGCTGTTCTGTGTTGCTCCTTACAGGCACAGACATCAACGGCGCCCTTCAGACCGCCATCGGGCTGCTCAACAACTATGTGACCCACAACGACATCGAGGACCGGAGTGTGTCCCTCATCATCTTCTTGACGGATGGGAAGCCCACCGTTGGGGAGACCCATACCTTCAAGATTCTCAACAACACCAAGGAGGCTGCCCGAGGTCGGATCTGTATCTTCACCATCGGCATAGGGAATGACGTGGACTTCAAACTGCTGGAGAAACTGTCGCTGGAGAACTGTGGCCTCACCCGGCGYGTGCATGAGGAGGAGGACGCTGGCTCGCAGCTCATCGGGTCAGTTGCCTGTCTTCTCAGGATGAGGAGAGGTTGAGGGGGCCCAGGGTTGGACTCCTTCTGAAATTTAGAAATGAGGGTGATCTCACACCTGCTGGAGATGCCGACAACTCCTTGTACTGGCAGATACTGGGTTTTGAAACCTGGCGGGTTGGGGGTCCTGCTTTGGGACTTTAGGCAAGACTTTATGACTGTTTCCTCATCTGTACAGTGAGGGTCATGGCTGGCTGACAGTGGAATGAGAAAGCAAGTTGGTGCAGTGTCACAYATGAGGTGTCCAATGAGCTCCTATAGTTACAATTGCCTTCTTGATATTTTGAGTTTATTTTATAAGTGGTTATATTTTAAATTTGAAGCAAAGTGATCATTAAAACTGGTAAGTACAATACTCAGATTATTATATTGAGGTGGAAAAGAAACTAGATCTTAGGTCTTCTAACACAGAAGTACCTTCCCTCAAGCCATGTTGCCAAGCTGAGCATGTGACTTTGCTGGTGACTCAGATGCCCAGCGTCCCTATACAGTACCTTTCTCTGTGTTGTGGCATATGTGGTAAAGGAAAACTGAGGTGGATTTACAGTTGTTCAGTAGCCATACCCAAAGAAATTTATTCCTTATCAATCCTGCTGACGATTTCTCAGGTATGCAGTAAAAACAGGTGGTTGGTTGGGACTGGCTACCATTTTTTCCCAGCATTTTTATGAAAGATTTAAATGAAAACCCAGATTACTTCCTACCATTATAAAAAAGTATTCACCATTAGATTCAAAAGAAGGAATATCTAATGCTCTGAAAACAACAGGGATTTAGTAAGGAGCTCATAAGCAAAAGCCACCCCATTGAAACAAATCAACTGCACTGTCACACTACTAAAAATAATATTGATACATCTACACAGAACTCAGAACATGCTGGGCATCTCTACCTGCCTTGTCTCATGTGATCCTCACAGAAGTTCTAGGACATAGATATATTACATAAAAGCCAAGTGACCACACAGTGATGAGAAAATGCAAAGACTCAACTAAGAAAACTGCTCATTTCTCCCACCTGTCAGCTGGACAGTCTCAATTCTGCTCCATGAAGCCATTCAGGGACCCAGGATCCTTCCATTTTATGGCTTTGTTCCTCATAGGTGTTTTCCTGAATTGCCAGGTTGAAATTAAGCCAGTATCATTTGTTTTCCCTGCCCAGATAAGGAGAAAGGAAGGAAAGCCAACACAAGCTATTTTGTTTTTAGCAAGTTATCTTTGAAATTTCACAAATCACTTGTATGTATATTCCATTGGTGAGCTCATGGTCACATGGCCATAATTGGCCCCAGTGGAGGCTGGGAAATTGCTTTTGTAGGAGGATGGACAAAGGCCTACTTAGAACTCAGTTAATATAAAAGAAGGGGAGAACGGACTTGGGGAGACAGCTGGTAGGCTACCAAAGTAGTACTGTTAATATTCCAATTTTATGGCTGAAGAAACTGAAGTCAGAGAGGTTAAGCCACATGTTCCAAGATACACAGTAAGGAAGTGGCTCTATAGCCTGTTCTTTCTACACCTATGGAAAAGGGATTTTAATTGTGGCTTTATCAAGAAGCAACCATATAACAGACCCCACCCCCACCCCGCCACACACACACACACACACACACACACACACACAGAAAAAAAAAAAACCTAATAGAAACAAATGTTGCATCACACAAAAGCACCACATTAAAGTCAAGGCCAGATTTCTCAAGTCTAATGTGCTGCTTAAAATTCATCTGAAATGTGTATTTGGTTTTAAGAACAATATTTTAAGTGGCTCTTTGAGAAACTCAGGGGTGTATCAGGAATTTATCAGGAGTGCTTAGGACCTTGAAGTTGTCGCCCATGAAGAGTGGTTCATGAGAACTGCTCACTTTGACAGCAGGTATACTAAGGTCGGAACCATCCAGAGATCAGTAGGGCCCCTGTCCAGGATGATACCCAAAGTTGTGAAATGTTCCTTGTTTTWCAAATTGCATCRTGCATGAGGAGGAGGACGCTGGCTGTGGCATCTTCAAATATGCCACAGTGAAACTCACCACTCTGTATAATTAATAGGCACCAATTTAAAAATCTGGTGGTTGATTAGGGAGCATGAAGTGAAGACTGCAGGGAACCCTGGGCAGAGTCGTTGGAGCATCTAAATGGCTTTTGTGTTGAGGATAGATTACCCTAATTCTGTCTTGCTCCAGAAGCAAAACTGAGGCCTCTGGCTGGAAACCTGAGGGGGATGATTTTGATCGACTCTCAGGAGGGTCTTCTTCATCATCAACGAGTAGGTAAAGGGGCTTAGAAGCCTTGAGAGGTAGCAAATGTGGTCTTGCCAGAAATGCTCAAGCTCCTGCTGAATGACCTCCCGTGGGGCATACTGTACTGGCTCTAGTGTGGGACTTGGTCACCCCTGGAGTCAGATCCACCCGTGAGGTGTGGACTCCTTGCCAGGGCTGGAGCCTCATTCTTTCTCTTCTGCCGCTGCTGCAGGTTCTACGATGAGATCAGGACCCCCCTCCTTTCTGACATCCGCATTGACTATCCCCCTGGCCTAGTGGAGCATGCCACCAAAACCCTGTTCCCCAACTATTTCAACGGCTCAGAGATCATCATCGCCGGGAAGCTGGCGGACAGGAAGGTGGAGCAGTTGCCCGTGGAGGTCACCGCCAGCAACAGTAAGAAATTCGTAGTGCTGAAGACGAAGGTGCCCGTGGAGCCCCAGAAAGTGGGGAATGATGTCCCAGGAAGCCCCAGGCCCAAAGGTGATGGCCAGGGAGACCCCAGCCACATCGAGCGTCTCTGGAGCTACCTCACCGTGAAGGAGCTGCTGAGCTCTTGGGTGCAGAGTAATGATGAGCAGGAGAAGGAGCAGCTGAGGCAGAAGGCCCAGGCGCTGGCCGTGAACTATCACTTCCTCACTCCCTTCACGTCCATGAAGCTCAAGAGGCCGACTCTCCACACTGGTGGGCTGGAGGACATCCATGGCATGTCTGCTGCCACAGGCCCTGAGACAGTGATGCAGAGCCTGTGGGGAGCTGGTCTGCAGCCAGGTAAGGCAGCTCCAGAAACCTGAGCTCCTGGTGAGGCTGTGGGGACCTCCGCAAGTTTATTTATTTTTTGATTTCTATAGTTTCTTTTAATAAACCAGAAACCTGCATATGGCAATACTCTTCAAAGAGTATCTTTGATTTTTATATTTGTATCATTATAAACTGTGGCTCTTGAGAAATGAGGAAAAAATGGCATGAGGCACGAAATGCCCATCAGTCAATCATCAATCAGTGGAGGGCCCACCACATGCCACCCAGTACTGGAGGCCCCGAGATGAGCACACAGCTATGTTCTGTTTTAGTGCCTTTCGATGTCCCGAAACACATCCGAGTTGTATTATTGTGTGCGTGGGATCAATTTCATTTTCTTGAGAAAGTTTTTTGAAGAACCAAGCTAGGGAATCTTGAGAGAATTCACCCTGGACACACCTGCCACTCAAAATCCAACAGAAGCCTCATGCCCAGTCAGCGTCAGTGGACAAGGGGGACTTCGCAGAGATGGGAGCAGGAGAAAGGAAAAGTGGTAAAACCAAATCAGGGGGTCACAGCCTAGATCACGTCCACTGGCAGAAAGTGGCACATTGGTTGGGTGTGGTGTTGTGATGAGGCCACTGTCAGGTTGCCATCCCCTAGGAAAGGGGACTGAAGTTCATGAGCCCTGGTTAACTGCTGTCTCCTTTATTCCTCACACTCTGAGCTCTGAGAAGCACCTGGGTGTGGCAGAGAGAGCAGGAAGTTAGGACCCACCAACCTCCTGACCTGCTGTGAGACCCGGGCAGGTTCCAGACCCTCTGAGCCTCCATCTCCTTACTGGGAAATTGGAGGTGGTGACAGATTCCCCGAGGGTTGCTGTGAGGATTAAGCACAGAGAGTCCTGGGCATGGGACCGGTGTTCTGCAGATCCTAGCCGTCCTCTCCATGAGGCACGTCGTGGTGTGAGAAGCTCATCGAGGAGCTCAGACCCTTTCAGACAGGCGACACCACGCTGTTGCTGTGTTAGAAAGACTGGCGCCTGTCTGGGGAAGCGAGGGCCGTTTTCATTCTGATAAAAAGTCAAGCTGCAGGATGTTGTCACTTCGCACGCACGAGACTAGTCCCATATCCAAGAAAAATGGCTATTTGAGCAATAAAGACCTTACATAAACCACTCAAATCTCAGTGGCTTCAGGAGAGATCAGAGGCAGATGACCCAAGACCCAAAGGACCCGGAGCACAGATGAGGAAATAACCAACTGATTGTTCAAAGGAGAGTTTTTGGAGTAAGATTTTCCTGAAGCRTTAGTGATTCTGTAAGACAATCTTCCTGTCCTTAATGCTCTGATGATATTTTAATTTTAATTTTTTTAAGTGCCTGTTGAAACTGACACTTCTCCAAGCAATCATCTGGCCTAAGGACTTCCCCCTCCTTCCTGGCCCATCTCTCTCTCTGCCCATGTCATGCTCTCCAGGGACCAGAAATAGGAAGGGGCACTTAAAACCCATTTAGAGATTTTGATCTTTAATTTTATTTTTCCTTTTAAGTCTTGGGGATGGAACCCAGGGCCTCGGGCATGCTAGGCAAGTGCTCTGCCACTGAGCTACGCCCCCCAACACTGTTGACCTTTAATTTCTAGGAGGGGTAAAAATGAGTAAAGAGGAGTGTAATTTTGCTAATACACCATATGATATTGGTTTTATTTATAGAAATTAATTTACTTCTAGGTTATCATTTAATTGAATATTTTTTTAAGGTACATTTTGAATCCTTGGTGTTTCAAAATGCTTTCTGAATTAAGCTTACACACATAGCTCTGGACCCTGGAATATAACTGTCTCTCTTGTTTTTATTGCACTAAAAACTACATAACATAAACAATTTTGCCATCTTAACTGTTCTAAGGGTACAGTTCAGTAGTGCTGGTTTTATTCTCATTGTTGTGAAATACAGCTTCAGAAAGTTTTTCATGTGGTGGAACCGAAACTCTGTATTCCCTAAACAATAACCCCCTAGTCTCCCTTTACCCAGAACTGTATCTTAAGTGTGATAGACTGTTTCCCCCTTTTATGTAAACAGAGACCACAGAAAAGAAAAATACTATCTAAATGCTAAACCAATACCATCATCCACCATCCTTGCTTGTTTCTTTGGAAGCCAGACTTTCCCTTTAAAATAGATGATGTTTTGAACAGTTTTGTTTTTTTTTTTTTTCTAATTCTTGGTTACAAATGTATCTGAAAGGTGAATATTTCTCATCTCAGCCTGCTTCTCCAGGGCCTCTCACAGGATCCTCTTTGATGAATAACCAGAGTGTTCTCTTCCTTCTCCTTTTTAGGGCCCACTCTCATGAAACCATATGACCCAAGAATCAAAATCTCTAAAACATCAGGTAAAGAGAAGGAGGTGGTTTGGTGAGTGAGTTGGGAATAAGGGAAATCTGGACAGGGGCCACCAGGAACACATTTAAGTTAGCAGTTCATAGAACGAGGCATCGTGACTGTATTTGTTTAGCTCAGGCCCCACAGAGTGCATGCTGAGAACCAGGACCATCTTTAAGCCACTACATAAACACCTTGGAGATCACACAGTCCCCAGGAAAGCCTGGCAACAGCCCTGGTGGAAGAAGAGTCGAATAACAGAGACATCTTCTGTGCTTAAAAGGCATTGGTTTCAGGGGTCTGGAGTGTGTGTGTTTCCAGCCCCTGGTGTCATGAATACAGAAGTGGTATTTTAGAAATGTCTGTTGAGGTAAGCAGGGTTTTGTTGTYGTTGATTTGTAATCCCAAACTTTAGAAGGAAGAACAGATTAAAAACATCATAGAGTTTCCTTTTGGCCGCTTCTTGGTATTATGATAAAAATGGAAGARCAGCGTTAGGGGCACTGGGCTTTTATTTTCCAACGTACACGTCTTCCCTTCTAAGTCTCACGATCCCTCTGCTGATGTACTGTACGTGCAAGTCCTTAAATCCAGGGACGTGCTTGAGATTAGCTATGGGGATGAAATGCGTAGTCTCCCGTGGATGGAATGCAATTCCTTGAACACGTGTGCTTTGTGGAATGCAAGAAAACCTTCCTCTTGGATGCTGCCTGCAGTAATCACTTTTGGACTCCTCTTTATTGGAACAAGCAGAATCTTTCCTTGTAAAGGGATTTGGATGATTTAAATAGAAGTGGATGTCRTAGTGTGTACAGAAAGTCTCAAAGTACTGTCAGAGAGTGCCAAAAATGTGGGAGAGAACTTTCGTTTCCCCTGGGTGTCGTTCCCCTCCACCCACCATCTGAAGACAGATACCTTGTATTTCTTTATATGTTGCCATTCACAGGGGAAGTGAGGCACTTCACAGTGAGAGTAGACAGATTCTCTCAAGGGCTCTTCTGAGTGATGCTGGAGGCAGACAGAGTTTTTCTGCAGGTATAAGGAGGATGGGAAGTTGTTTMGAGCTTGAAAAGACCAGACTTCTCCTGAACCAAACCTCCACTGTAGCTAGGCACATTCTCATGCATGTATACACGTACACGAGAAACAGAGAGGGAGGTTCCAAAACAGGCTGTGTCTGCTGGTGTGTAAGTCAGAAAGTACATCTCCAGTCCAGTGAGAGAAGGGAATTGATGTAGACTCTTGGGAAATATTTGATCTGTACAGCAAGACACAGGCTCTTCATCTTTGGCAGAGGTGAAAAGGAGGAGAAATGGACCAGGAACGGGGGCCAGCTGAGCTTCATCTGCGGACAAAAATTTTAGAGCAGTAAAGTCAGTGATTTCTGCCCTCATCGCTGTCACTGCCGAACCTAGTGCCTCTGCTTCACCTGTCACTGCCCATAAATTGGGCTTGGCTTCTCAGGACCTGCCCACTAAGCTCGCAGACGGCTGGCACTGGGAGTGTTTGTGAGACAGACTGGGGCTTCCTGGGAGAAGTGCCAAGGAACTCTTGCCATAGACAGGAAGAGGCTGCATTCTTAGACACAATATCTTTATTTATTTATTTTTATGTGGTGCTGAGGATCGAACCCAGTGCCTTACACATGTGAGGTAAGTGCTCCACCACTGAGCCACAACCCAGTCCTGAGGCTGCATTCTTCAGGTGGGCAGTGAGAGGAAAAGCAAGTAACCTGGGGAAACCCACCCAGGACATTGGGGACTGCACTTCTCCTCCCTGTCCTACCCCTCCTGCCTCTCAGGCCTGGCTCTCTGCACTTAACTGACGGTGCAAGGAGCCCTGGATTTGGACTTAGGAGGCCTGAAGTCAATATCTACTTTACGTGGGCTCACTGGGAGACTTTGGAGAGTCACTTCTCTCCCTTGTTTGGAAATTGAGGAAAACTGTTCTTCCAGCTTGTCCTGGGGAGCAAAGAAATGATTGGTGAGAAACTAGAGAGGAGACAGCMGATAAATGTCTGCCTTTCTCTCTCCTTTTTCTCCCGCCCTGGCAGTGGATGGTGACCCTCATTTTGTGGTGGACTTCCCCCTGAGCAAACTCACCGTCTGCTTCAACATCGATGGGCAGCCCGGGGACATCCTCCGGCTCGTCTCTGATCACGCGCACTCTGGTGAGCGCTGCCCTCCCTCCCTGGTGGCATCAAGGCAAGGAGGGGCCCGGGAGGGGCTGCACCCCTCCCTGTTCTTGGGATGAATGACAACTTATGTCAGGGACACATGGTAGAGGCTCAGTGGGTGCCGCTGATGAGTGAAGGGYAGTGGACATTGTTCTTGGACTTGGAGTCAGAGAGCCGAACATTCGGACCCACTCTAATGACTTCGGTGTTGTGTGGCCTTGGACTGCCGTTGTCTCCCTTGTAAAATAGAGATTGTGATACTCTGCTGGTCCCACAGGGCGGTTATGAAATGGATTAAACTAAATAATGGACATAAGTTGGCTTCATAAATGCTTAAGAAACTCACGAAGTTATTATTTTCTTTTCATTGAGAAGCTGTGATGGCGGAAAGGCCAGAGGCCCAAACTCATCTCTCTCAGTTCCTTGGTGACRTAGATGAGAAGCCCAGAGGTTAACCACACAGTCCTGTGTGCTGTGAGCACAGATGTAAAGAGACCTCTGGTCCCCATGGGCTGGGGAGAAGGACTGGGTAAAAGAGGTTGGCACAGAAAAAACTTTTGGAGTTCAGTGCTGGTATCGATGCTTGGGGACCAACTCTGTGGTCAGCCACACAGCATGGCTTTGTGAGGACAAGCTTGGGAGTGGGCCTTTCTGGTATTTGTAAGTGCTGAGACAATAAGAGTTGTGGAGGGTCAGTCGACATAGGTCCCAGGTGGTAGGTATGTTGAGATTAAGGAAAGTTTAACCCTGGGTCTCCTCTATCACATTGTTCTTTTGTGGGTCTCTCTAGTCTTAGAGCTATATTTCTAATGTTTCTCATCTAAAAGGGTGCAGGAATAAGATAGGGACCCAACTGCAGCCTTTTCTGGAAGTATCCCCTCTCTTTGGAGCTATTCCATGGTTTCCGTATTCTGCCCAAGAYGGGAACTCAGCCTGGAAGTGCTTGGAGCATGGCTGTGCTCAGACAGGGATTCTATCTCTCCAATCCTCACCCTGCCCCCCCCCCACACACACACACTCTTTGTCCCAGGAAAGACACTTTTCTCCTTGAATACCTAAGAAGTTACAGTCAAGATTTACTGGGGAGATGATCCCAAAGTAGAGAACACTCGAGTTAATTATATACCAGTCTTTTGTTATTGAAAATTGCCTCTTGGCATGAGGGCAAAGCTCACATAGCACACATCACTTAATTCACTGCAAGCATCTCCTGTGCACTTGCGTGTGTCTTTTATTCAGCCTGACAGCACGGAGCCCTGGGAGCTGGCTGCCAGCCTTACTCAAGTCCAGAAACACTTATGTTCTTAGTGGCACAGGAAAAAAAAAAAAACAGGTGTTATATTTGATGGCAGTTGACAGCTTATACATATGCTTCCTTTTGCAATCCTTGCAAAAATTTAGTTTGCGTTTATATCTTCTCCATTTTACATGATGAAGGAATTGAGGCCTAACTTTTTCCAATGACTTATTTAAGGATGAACACCTCGGACATGGACGAACTTGAGTTTTTGGACTGAAAAACATTCTGGCATCAATGGTCTCGAAATTAGGATCTATGGCTACTGGTAGATACAAAATATTTATCAGGACCACCAAATCTTTCTGTTCTATACGCAGGCTGAAATGAGCCATTCAGTCCCCTTCCGTGATCTTGATCCCAGCCTCAGCCTTCTTCCCTTGTTCCAAGATKCTGGTCAGACATGGGGCAGAAAGCTCACCCGTGGCTACCAGTGATCCCTCACCCATTCACTCATTCAGCCATCACTGAGCAGCCTCTATGAGTGAGTCATTCCTGCTGCAGAAACAAAGAACAGGAAGGAGGAAGGAAATTCTGACCAGAGGCCTTTAGGGGTTGGGGATTGTGTTTCTAACCATTGTTCTCTTCCCCTGGGCTTCAAGGTGTGACGGTGAATGGAGAGTTAATCGGGGCCCCCGCCCCACCTAGTGGTCACAAGAAGCAGCGCACCTACTTCCGCACCATCACCATCCTCATCAACAAGCCGGAGAGATCATACCTGGAGATCACACCCAACAGGGTCATCCTGGATGGCAGCGACAGGCTGGTCCTCCCCTGCAACCAGAGCGTGGTGGTGGGGAGCCGGGGGCTGGAGGTGTCTGTGTCTGCCAACRCCAACGTCACTGTCACCATCCAGGGCACCATTGCTTTTGTCATCCTCATTCACCTCTACAAAAACCCAGCGCCCTTCCAGAGAAACCACCTGGGCTTCTACATCTCCAACAGCAGGGGCCTTTCTAGCAACTGCCATGGCCTCTTAGGTAGGCAGCTGCTCATCTTCATGCTGGGCTCGGAGCATGGAATTAGATTCTCAAAGAGAAGCCCATACTGCCAATCTCTTCAGCTTGATTGGGAAATCCAATAGAAAATGTGGTCCTTATGTACATGGCTATTCCTTGGCATCCACCAGGGACTGGTTCCAGGATTCCCTGAGATACCAAAATCTGAGGATGCTCAAGTCCCTCAAATGGCCTAGTAAGCCAGTGGAGGTGGCACACACCTGTAATCCCAGCCACTCGGGTGGCTAAGGCAAGGGAGGATCACAAGTTTAAGGTCAGCCTGGGCAGCTCTGTAAGACACTGTCTCCAAAAAAACAAAAACAAAAAAAATCAAAAGGTCTGGGGATATAGTTCAATGGTATTCCCAGTACAGCAATAAATAAATAAAATGGCATAGTACTTGTGTAAAACCTACACCCATCCTCTCATGTGCTTTACATCATCTCTAAATTATATCATACCTCATAGAATGCAGTGTGAATAGCCGGTATTCTGAATTGTGTAAGGACTAAAAGCAAGGAAAAAAGTATCTATATGTTCAATACAGATGCATTTTTTTCTGAATGTTTGATCCACAGTTGATTGAATCCAAAGATGTGCAATCCATAGATATGGAGTGCTGAGTATGTGTATATGAAAATTGGATTTTGGGCCTCCTGATGACTTTCTGGAATAGGAGTGGCTGTTACAAACCAGCTCTCGCTAGTCTCTGGGAGAGCAAAGCAGTGGAGGGTAATCAATTTAGGTCTRATTCCTTGTTCCTCTGCAAGGAGACACAGAAAAAGGGCAGCCCACAGCCCTCCCAGCACGAGAGAGTTTTGCATTTCATAGGAGTCATCCACACTGCTGCTGTGAGCAGCGGGCAGGCCACTCTGGCCAGTGTCCTTCAACGTGTAATTTCATGTGGGCTCCTGGCCCAAAAATGTAGGACGAGCCATTGCCAGGGCTCTGTTTAGAAAGCAGGATTTCCTGGCACTTGAGTTGGATGCATTTTGCCGTGCCTGGCTGCCAAACATACTCCCCATCTCACAAATGCAGATCTGGGTCCCGTTGGCCTCAGCAGTACCCTCACCTGACCTGGAGAATTCTGAGGACAAGTGTCAGGAGTGAGCCGACTACTTTCCATACCCACCCAGGTGCACTTGCCATGTCTTGTTCAAATGGGGACCTATAACAGGGAAGGAAGAGGGAAGACCTGACCCTTTGCCCAAAGCCCTCTTCTTGTCCTCACCGGTCAACCAGAGAGTGTTTGTCCCCATTTATTGTTTAGGTGACGACGTTTCAATGTTAGCAACCAGGCAGCTTCCAGAAGTGTCACATCACTACAGGAGCAGCTTAGCTCTTTATTCTTCATTTTATGGACCAGGTGTAAATGCAGTCCACCTAGGGACTGGTAGTCCTGTTAACCTGCCCCCATCTCATTGACTTAGACCTATTGCACCTGTTGTCTTCATTCAGCATGCATCGATGCTTTTATTTATTTATCTACTATCTGTTTATTTTTTGCCTTCTCAGGTCAGTTCCTGAACCAGGACGCCAAACTCATAGAGGAGCCTGCAGGGCTCAGCAAGAATCTTACCAATTCTCCACTCCCGCCAGCAGGAGGGACTTCTGAGACCATCCTAAAGGTGAAAGGGCACCGAGTCCCGGTTGTGTGGAAACAAAGGAAGATTTACAACGGGGAGGAACAGATAGACTGCTGGTTTGCCAGGAACAATGCCGCCAAACTGATTGATGGGGAGTATAAAGATTACCTGGCATCTCATCCGTTTGACACAGAGATGACATTGGGATYCGAAACCAGCAGCCTTAATTAATAAGAGCACGTGAAAGTGAAATGACTTTGGGGGCCACAGYGGGGCAGCTCTTCTTGTTGCTTGTGCACACCTGGTTCTTACAGTGAGCTGTGCTCCAGAGCTTATCCCTGCTGGGGTGGAGCTCTGGTGTCTGCTTGGGCAAGGGGCAGGGGCAGGAAGCGCTAGAGAAAATATTGTTTCTTTCTCCTTCCTCTCCCCCCTGCCCCACCCCCATCTACAGTAGAGGAAAATGGTAGCGCCAAGGAGAGAAAGGTCATATTTAAGAGCAAGAAAGTTTGTATCATATACCATCTGGCTCTCCCATCTTGTAGCCTACCCTACAGTAATATTTTCTGATGATGTGAGGTTGCTTGAAACTGTTTTCTCTGTAGAAACAGCCAAGTGCAGGCCCTTTGCTTTTTGCCTTATATTCATGCATAGAGATCTCTTCCCTACCCACAACCCCATTGACCCTGGGCCACAGGCCATACAGACAGCACATACATTGGATCATTGTAAATAATTAAATCTTTTTTTTTTTTTTTTTTTTAAGGAGAGGACTTTCCTCTGCTGTGGAATCTTACCCATAAAAATTAATTTTGTTTTAAAAATTTTAAAAAACAAATTTAAAAATATTTTTTTAAATGTAGAAACATGTACATCCCAGACGCCAATCTCTTTCCTTTTAAAGAGCTTTATAAACCACTTGATTTTGCTGGTGAATATTGGTGCAATTTATTCCAATAAGCTGAGTGCTTTTGATAAACAGGACAACCCCACGTGGATGGTGTTTATTGGCCCGTCTTGGTGCTGGGGAGTTGGCCAGTTGAAAGGCGAATTGTTAGCTTGGAACTCTTCAGTCTGTCAGGATTTCTGGGCCATTTTTTGACCTCACCATCCAGGAGCTGATGGAGGGCGCTGGCTGTGAGGTAGAGCCGGCTCAGAGGGAGCCCACAGTCCAGGTGTAGGAAGAATCAGCTTGCATGCTGGCAGCAGGAAGGACACACATGTCAAAAAATCTAAATGGACTTCCCACTTCTTAGATGGGCAAAAACCAGGAGACCAGCATGAGCAGGGAGCGTTGGTTCCAGAACTTGGGCAAACCTGATCCCCAAAGGAAAATGTTAAAATCAGAGAGGCTGAAAAAAAAAGGGGGGGGGGCATTTCCTTCCGAATGCCCTCCATAAAGCCTGGGCATATCACCAAGGGGAACAAGGTGTGATGGGCCGAGAGCCTCTGTGCCCCCCTCCATAGCACTTCTCATTCTGCTGGGCTTGGTCTTCTCGGAGTCACTGGTTGGAAGCAGATAGACCCAGTGGGCAGCTGAGACAAACAGCAGAGAAAGACAGACTGTGGTCAGAGAAACAGCATATTTTGATGTGGGACAGAGTGAAGGGTTTTGTGCGGGCTCACATGGGGTTTCCTCCGTCCAGCCTGATGCCAGGGCAGCCTCTGCATGAAATGGGAAGGCATGCACAGCACCTGAGAGACCACCRAGCAGAGAAAATTGTTTACCGTATTTACCTTCCTGTGGGAAACATCGGTGCAGTGAAATGACATCCTCATGCTCCCATCAGAGACTGGCTTTGGGAGCCAACTGGCGCCAGGTGGCGGAACTGTCCCTCTCAGGGCCTCCTTCTCTCTGCACTTGACCCACCCACCTGACCACGGCCCGTCAGCTGTGCTATTTATCTGGCTCCCGTCTTACCAAACTCAGCTGTCTGTTTTCCTGCCACATTCGGAAAACATATGACAGAGGTTTCCATATTTTAAAGCTCAGAAAAAGAGGAGGGACACAAGCCAGGGCTGACCAGTGCCGTCCTGGTCAGATTCCCTGGACCTTCCATTATATAAATCCCAGCTGAGCAGACAGCCCTGGTGCCAAGAGGCCCAGGCCCCTGTGCTGCACGTGGAGCGATGGTCTGTTGTTCCAGGTGTGGGCCTCACACTGGAGAGAGGAGGATGTCATTAGGCAAGCCTGGTCACTACTACAGCAGAGAAACATATTCCAATGAGAAATTCAGCAGTTACTGTCCAGCTCAGACCAAAAAAAAAAAAAAAATTACTATATCAAAGAGGAGCTTTTAAAATTATGTTTTTACTTTAGACAAACACCAGTCCTGTTTCTCTTCTTTAGTTGTAGATCATTCTTTATTTGCAGAAGGTATTTATCATTGAATTTTCTGTTGGAGCTGGAAATTCATATCTGTGAATACAAAACCCCACACCAGTATAATATGTAKGACTTTTTAATTTGGTTGGAAAATGTGCTGTTTTTTTTTTTTAATTAGCCACATGTATTATAAATGACAAGCTCTTTAAAGCAAATGCTTTAAAGAAAAGAGGAATTCTCTTGTCAGACAGAGAAACTAAGGCAGGGTGCAGTTGAGTGATTTTTCTAAAAGGCTTAGAGCAGGGGAAGGCTGAACTGCCTGAATCCATTTTGTTAGCTTTGACATTTTTTTCACCATCTGGTCAATCATTTATTTTCCTTCTGCTTTTTTTTTTTTAAGTTGGAAGGTTATTAAATGAGTAATTGAATGGAACTGAGAAAAAATGTTGAAGTTAGAGGAGATAAATCTCACTGTTATCGTAATAGCTCATGTTAATGAGTCATAATGGATCTTGAGCAAATCCACATCTCTGGATTCCAACCTCCTCCCTCCTCTGACAGAGGCCTCTGAATGGGTCATCTTTAAGGGTCTACTAATTTAAAGTTTCATATCCCCCAAATAAAATGGGCTGAGCATTCCCTGCCTGCCAGGTCTGGTGCCTTGTCTTCCTCTGTCTGAGTTGGGTGTGATTTTCCCCTGCAGGCTAGAGGGTGAGGTGTTTGGGAGGACAGACCAGCACCGCACTCCATCCGAGCTGGCCAGCTGTGAGAGAGGATGCAGGGGACTTGGGGAGAACTCCTTTTTGGTCCCATATCAGGAGGAACATTAAATATTTACTTGAATCGTGTCTTCTTTGTAGGTGGATTAGGAACAGGATTCTCTATCTTTTGGCCTCACTGAATGCTGTGGAACAAATTCCTGTTTTCTTCCAAAATTTGTATGTTGAAGCCGAAGTTCTCAATGTGATCGTGCTTGGAGGTGGGCTCTTTCAGAAGTGATGAGGTCCTGAGGACAGAGCCCTCATGGATGGGATTAAAGCCCTTCTAAGAAGAGACAAGGGAGATCATCTCTCTTGCCTCTGCCATGTAAGAATAGAATGTTTGTAGACCAGGAAGCTGAGCCTCACCAGACACCAAATCTGCTGACACCTTGATCTCTGCCTCCCAGCCTCAAGCATTTATTGAGAAATAGATGCTTCTGTTGAAGCCACCCAGTCCATGGTGATCTTGTTACAGCAGCCTAGGCTGAGGAAGACACGCAATCATTATGCATTCTTTTTCCTTTCTCTGAACTACCCAGAATGCACGCAAACAATGCTATTATTAAAATTTGAAATACTCTTAGAACCATAAGAACACCATCTAGCTAAAATAAACAGCAAATAAAATAACACAACTAAGCAAATACTTAGAAATACAGTTTTAAATATTTATTTTAACAACCCATTTTCAATTATAAGGAGGGTACAAGAGAGTTCACATTTCAAGAAACATTTTTTCTTAAAAATTTGTAAAAAAATTGAAATCTAAAGATAAGTAATGAGGTGTTTGTTTTTTGAGGGAAAATAGGATCAGGACTAGGGAGAATAAAGCAATGATCCTAACAGTGCTGCTTGTATGTAGGCCTTTCTGAATTGTAGTCATGAGCTACATAATGATGTTTTGGTCAACAGTGGATGACACGTTAGGACAGTAGTCCCATAAGAGTTTAATGGAGCTGAGAATTTTCTGCTGTCTAATATTTTTGCTGTACCTTTTAGATGTGTTTATATGCATAAATACTTTGCATTTTGTTTGCTTACAGCATTCAGTGGTAACATGCTGTTCAGGCCGGTAGCCCAGGAGCATGAGATATACCACAAGTAGGTGCATAATAATATGCCATCTAGGCTTGTTTGACTGTACTTCATGATGTTCTCACAGTGACAGAGTAGCCTGTGGCACATTTCTCAGAATGTAACCCTGTCATTAAGCAATGAATGACTGTATGTAAAATGATATGAGAATGGAATAGTGACATTGAAAGAACAATGTTAAAGTAACATGTTATTCTACAGAAAGACACAGCAAATTTATGGTGGCCATTCCTGTGCTCTTTTAAAACTGTGACTTAGGGGTGTCTTAACCAACCTACTCCCCGCCCCCAGTGCACTACTGTGTGGGGACACCAGCACCCCTCTCTATCACCTTCTCTCATTTGTGCACCATTTGCCTACCATCTCAGTGGATGCTCTTCCATTTGGCTTGGACTTTGCCAACCTAGGTACCATTTCTAGCTTTTTCTTAATTTTACCTCCAGTTCTGAGCACTCCTGTCACATCTTGATTAGATTCTGTTTGAGCTATGTTGAATTCTGAATAAAACAGTACCTGACTTAAGCCAAAACAACCCTGAGACACAAGGGAGACAACACTGAAGACTGCATCAAATAGAAAACAAGCAAACAATCGATTATCAAGGACTTCAAGTCAACCTGTTTGGGCTTTAGCTTCTTTAGCTTCTTATAGTTACAGAGGAGATAACTTCTGAGATCATCTGATCTTTATCTTTTGTCTTCAGATGAAAAAAAAAACTTCCTGAACCCCCACAAGATAAGTTAGGAAAGTATTCATTCAGTATCCCCAGAGAATTTGCAGTTCCAGTGTACCAGGCCCAGGGATCCAGAGAACAAAGTTCCTGCCTGCACAGAGATCAGAGAACGGAGAAAGAGTGCAAAGGTGTAATGAATACTGCAGGAGAACTTTTCAGAGAGCTGTTATCTGAGCATAGTAGAGGGACAACTCTGAAGGTAAGAGGGAGRTCAGGAAACTATTCCAGGGACAGAGCTTTGAGCTAAGCTGTCAGGAAGGGGAGTATATTAAAAAAGCAACCCYATAGGACTTGTTTTCTATAATGGTAGGCAACTGGGAGCACCTTCCAAATGGAAGCGAGTTTCTCACTGCATGCATTCAGGTGCAAATAGAGCACTGTTGATCTTCTGAGAACTCACACTAGAGAAAATGCTTGGTGGAATCCTAGATTTCTTACTCCCTGGACCCTGTCCCCATGCATGGGTCTCCAACCATGTCCACATCATCCGTTTCCTTTACTCCCACTCCTGGAATGCAGAAAGCACCTAGGGAAGGTCCCAGAACTCTACCATGGGTCTCTTCCCATGGTTTCCTCATCTTGGTACCTCCCTTCATTCTAGGGGTGACCACCCTCCTGTGTTCTGGGTCCCTTACCTTCTCACTTCCTCTAGGTGGTTGCCTCAGCCAWTCTCTCCAGACTCTTGTTCCCCACCAGGTCCCTCTCTCCCAATTTCAAATTGCAAGTGGACTATCCTTCTCCAAAATGCTTGGGACCAGAAGGGTTTCCGATTTCTGAGTTGTTTTGGATTTTTGCTTATTGGCATAGACTTTACCATCATGTCAGCATTCGAGAAGTTTCTGATTTTGGAGCATTTCAGGTTTTGGGATTTTGTGATCAAGGATGCTCAACCTGCACCATTCCAAATTAGTTTCATTCTACCCTGAAACAATTGTCCCTTGATTGGGCTCCCTTGCAGCTTCTATCTTGTTTCACATTTCTGGGTCAACTTTGCTCTGGTGGATGGTACTTGACACCACTTTTTTCTTACCTCCTAGTCCATTGCTTCAATCTCAGATTCAGCGTCTGTCGTCACCGTGTACAGGAACCGTACCTTAGACATCCTGTTACCATTTCCTGCTTCCAATGCCAACGTCAGCACCTTCAGCATGACTCTGGTGGCCTCTTCCCCYTTTTTTGAAATGCTGGGTCCTTTTGCTTCTTTTATGTAAATCTTTTCTAGCCTCATTTGATGAATTTCTTTCCTCCTACCAACCTGTGGACTTACCCTGAGGTTCTTCCATGGTCCCTGGATCTGGATTGTCCTCCAGAGTCTCTTGTGGAAAGCATGAGCCCCAGTGCAGAAGTTCAGAGGTGGGGCTTAGGCAGCAATTGGACAGTGAGGGCTGTGACCTCTTCAGTGTGCTTCAGACTGATCCATTCAGAACTGAATGGACTACTGGGAGGTGGGACCTATTTG